CAGCACAGTACTTAAAGATCTATTTGTAATTAAGAGATTAATAGTTCAGTTATGGTCATCTATACAAACTCCAGACATATTCACAGGGCAAAGAATCTAAAGACAGAGCAACAGGTAACAATATTGCAAACAATTAGTGTAACTTTTAATTCAATGTAGAAACATAGATTTTGATTGTTTGAGCAATGTGCATTAATTTCACAATTAGCCTTGTATCAAAGTAAAAAAGTGGAGAGCAAGAGAAAAACAGAAATTTAATGAGATCTCTGCTCTTCTACCAACTATTATGAGCAAAGTTTCTCAGTGAGAGATTTGACAGCATTTTTTGTGACATGATTTAACTAAATTATACAAAATAAAACTGAGACAAGGCAATCAAAAAATGCATAATAAAGATAACTCAAAAAAACACATGTTCATTCAGAAGACACTTAAAATTGGAACAATATTTGAACACTTAACACCAGAGCCAAGAACTGTTTGGAATTATTTGTTATCAACATGAGATATTTTTATGAGGATTATTTTATGTTTTCCTTTGAAACATACAAGGATTGCTCTAAATTTGGCAACTTCTGATTTTTATTTTTGTACAGTAGGAATTAGGCTTGGGGGTTTTACATGAACTCCAGAAACTACAAATCCACACTTATTCTGCAAGTCCCGATGAAACAAATATTAACTGGACTAAAGCAGGTGATGTGAATCTGCCCTTGAACAGTGGCTGGTCAAAGCGCTGACTTTAATTCACAAGAAATTAAAGGGAGAGGTTTAGAGTATTTTAGTGCTTAAATTAATTCTTGAAATTGCTATTAGTTTTTTTTTTAAATCCTCAATTGCTATTTTAAATCATTTATATCAGTGAAGTTAGTGACACACCCAGCGCAAAATAAACTTTGTTTCAAAAGATACGTAACTCTATTAAAATTCTCTTCATTCCTGAAATTATACCCAGCTTTCCAACATTCCATTACGGAAGATACTTTAGACAGAATCTGTTATCTATTCCCTTCCCAATAATGAACAGTAAGTTGCAAAATTCCACGTACTTTTTAGGTCATGATCATTGAAATCGGTCACCACCCTCTCTATAACATCACATGTCCAGCATGTCTGCTGTATAAGAACCCAGAAACTCACAAATAGTCAGAGAAATACAACCACTAACTAATTGTGCCGCATGGGTTTTATTCTTACACTTCGTATAATTGGAGTTACTGGATTGCATTTTCCATTCTCCGAAGAATATGTAAATCCAATTTGTGTACAAAATCGCAAAGTAATGTTCATAATTAGAGCATCTTTTATCTGGTTAACACCTACTTCAATAGATCCAACTGGGTAGTGTTGCGACAGTTTTCTCAGTCGGAAACGAGAGCTATCTTAGCAGCTTATGTCTCACACAAAGCACCGGCTTTTCCAGGACACACTCACATCGCGCCACTTGTACAAAGGCAGCAAGGGCCGAGAGAAGCCAGTCTGTCTCCAGCAGGAGCTAGTTCCTAGGGACATGGTGGCTGGGGGTAGGGGAGCTGCGACAAACCCGGGGAAAGTGCGAGCAGGCGGCTGGAGACAGAAAGCCCCGGGGGAAATTGCTCAGGGCACAGGATGCACTCATGCCAGTCTCATGCGGCAGGACCAGGGCACATGACAGTGCCAGGTTGTGTCAGAATGGGCATGGTGAGGGTCATGTGACAGTGCCAGGTAGTGTCAGAATGGGCATGGTGAGGGTCATGTGACAGTGCCCGGACGTGTCAGAATGGGCATGGTGAGGGTCATGTGACAGCGACGGTCAGTGTCAGAATGGGCACGGTGAGGGTCACGTCACAGTGCCACACAGTGTAACAATGGGCATGGTGAGGGTCACGTCACAGTGCCACACAGTGTAACAATGGGCACGGTGAGGGTCATGTGACAGTGCCAGTCAGTGTAATGAGCACGGTGAGGGTCATGTGACAGTGCCACACAGTGTAACAATGGGAACG